TCCATTCACCTCAGCCTCCCAAAGGCGCGGGATTACAGGCTGAGCCACCAAGCCCAGCTCCAGCTAACTTTTAAATTTTTTTTGTAGAGCTGAGGTCTTGCTATGTTGTCCAGGCTGGAGGTGGCAGTTATTCAATTTTTAAAAAATAGAGCCACCCCCTCCACAGCTCCTGGCTGGAAGAAATAAATGGTTTAGAGACCAAAAAAATCTTATTTTAATCAGGTCGAGTGTGTAAACTCTGGATTCTGCTACTTTAAAATGTTATGTTAAAATGTATACACTATTTTTGTTCATGTTGAGTATGCAAATTCCAGATTTTAGTTCTTTTTAAATTAAGAACAATTTTTAAAATAGTGTTTATTCATATGGCTCTTGCAGAATCCAGATTTTGGCTTCTCTTTTAATTTTTAATTGAAAACAAAACTTTATCTTATACTTTTGGTTTTGACATTTAAAACCATTTAAGATTTTTATTTGGGTTGAATGTGCAAAATCTGAGTTTTGCTTTTTAATTAAATTTTTTGTTTTGGTTTTTAAAAATATTTTAAAATAGTTAATGTATATTAAGTATCATGGTTCAAAAACCAAACAGTAACCAACATATTCAAGAAAAAATCGTGCTCCCATGCTCTACACTTTGCCCTCTCACAGATAACCACTTGTATTCATTTTATTGCAATATCCTTCCAGGCCGGGCTCGGTGGCTCAGCCTGTAATCCCAGCACTTTGGGAGGCCAAGGTGAGTGAATTGCCTGAGTCCGCAGGTTCGAGACCCGCCTGGGCAACTTGGCGAGACCTCATCTCTACAATAAATCAAAAACTAGCCGGGTATGGTAGCGCGTGCCTTTAATTCCAGCTACTTGGAAGGCTGAGGCGGAAGGATCGCCTGAGCCCAGCAGGTCGAGGCTGCGGTGGCTGGGAGCGTGCCACTGCACTCCAGTCTGGGCGATAGAGTGAGACTCGATTAATTAATTAATTATCCTTCCAAAATCTAAGCATATTAAACAAATATAAAATATGTATTTTTAATTCCATCCCTTCAGTGTTTACTCTAAAGGTAATACTTGAATGACACTGTTCTGCAATTCTTGAAAATTTTCCACATCAGTATGTAGAGTGTCCTCATTCATTTTTTCCATTGTGAAGATGTGACACAGTTTAATTTATTCCTTATTGGTGGACACTCAGGTGATTTCTAGTCCTTTCCTATTGCAAATGTTGCTGTAGCAAGAAACGTCATACCCATGTGGATCCACACAGGTGCAAACAAATCTATAGGCCCTATTTCTGATAGTCTCAGTGGAGTAGCTACCTTTTTGCTCTCCCGCCAGCAAAGTGTGGACATGCTTGTTGCCCCATCAACACAGGGTGCCTCTCAAACTTCCTGAACATGTTTGCCAGTTCAATAAAGAGGAAGATTATGGATGAGGCTGGACATCTTTTCATATGTTTAAGAGCCATTTGTTTTTCCTTTATTGGGAATGGCCTACTCACCTCCTTTGGCAATTTTTGTCCTTAAAAAAATTAATTTCTGGGCCGGGCACAGTGGCTCACGCCTATAATCCCAGCACTTTGGGAGGCTGAGGTGAGAGGATTGCCTGAGCCCGCAGGTTCAAGACCAACCTGGACAACTTGGCAAGACCTCATCTCTACAATAAATCAAAAAATTAGCCAGGCATGGTGACACGTGCCTGTAGT